GGAATCAGCTAAAGGGTGATTCCAGCAATAACCCGAGTATCAGGAGAAGGTGGAAGAAATAAGGAAGAAGGTGGAAGAAATAAGGACCTTTAGCAGCAATAACCCGAGTATCAGGGCAATCAGCTTCAGGTTTTATCTATAGCTGGTTGAAGAGCTGCTTTACCTGCAACTTTCAAATCCTCTGGAAGACATCAGTTCCTCTTGTCCCATTGTCCAAGAACCTCTTTCAATCCTTTCCTCTTAATGACCCTAAGTTTATAGACACTGCCCAAAATGTAACTTGGGTTTATGCTTGTATTTCTTTGCTTCTTTCCTTATTGACGATACGTAACATTTATGCTCTTGATGCTTCACATACATTGTTTTCTTGGAAGGTCTTATACCCAAATCAAGCTTCCCAAGGAAAATCTTTTAGTATGTCAGAGGTAAGTACCTGTTTGTTATTGATTTTAATTCTAATAATTATAATTTCTTTAGATAACAATTTTTAATAGTGATGTTTAAATGAGCTGACTAAGATACCAACTGATGTTAAAGTATGTGGAGTTTAAATACTCAAATTTTTGCACAAAATATTATAAAAACAAGTTAATACTTCAAAATTCTAAAGTAACAATCTATTTTTGATCAAATAAGTTTTGGAAACCCATGTGGCAACTACTTTTTGACCACTAGAGTTATAAATTGGCTCAATTTTATTATGTTTTATATATTTTGGACGAGGATACTTTACTTCATATCCTTTATCTCTTTATGATATTAAAGAAAAATGCAGTGATATAAAGATAACTTAGTAATTGTACAGTTAATAATATAAGGCTGAAAGTTGTAATAATACCACAAGAATGTTGTGAATCATACCGTAATTGTGTTTTAAAAAAATATTAATAAAATTTGTTTTATTGGTTTCTCATTTTCAATATTTGGTGAATTATGAGCTGTATACAATGTAATTTTTTTTCTCATGTTTTTTTTAGAAGGGACAAGGAGTGGATAAACAAATGGATCTCCAAATTGAACCCAATTCTGACACTAGAAAATCTTGCATTGGTAAATAACCTTAACAGAGGTTAATAGTAACATCTATTTCCCAGCTCTTAGGGGCCTGTTGGTTAGGGTACTGTACTCGCAATGGTAAATAACCTTAACAGAGGTTAATAGTAACATCTGCTTCCCAGCTCTTAGGGGCCTGATGGTTAGGGTACTGTACTCGCAATGGTAAATAACCTTAACAGAGGTTAATAGTAACATCTGCTTCCCAGCTCTTAGGGGCCTGATGGTTAGGGTACTGTACTCGCAATGGTAAATAATCTTAACAGAGGCTAATAGTAACATCTGCTTCCCAGCTCTTTGGGGCCTGATGGTTAGGGTGCTGTACTCACAATTTGTGGGTTGCTGAATCGGAACCCGTCAACTGAACATGCTTACCTTTTAAGCCATGGAGGTATTATAATATGATGGTCAATCCGACTATTTTTTGGTAAAGGATGGCTCAAGTCTTAGTTTGCAGTCAGTGACTAGGTGCCTTTACTCTAGTCTATCACTTCTAAATCAGGATATGGCTTGTGCAGATAGCCCTAGAGTAGCCTTGCATGAAAATTCAACAAAAAAAATATACCTCTTTGAATTGTTAATAACATCCAGCTGAAAATAGTAATACAAAGTTATTTATTAAGTGAAATCTAGAAGCTTGATCATTTTATTACACTAAACTTTATTAACAACCCTTTCTCTATTTAAAACTTGCTTTTTAGAACGTGGGTTTAATACACTCGTACTGAGTCCAGTTCTGTTTTATAATCTTGAATTATTTCATAAACGTATTATTTTCAAACAGGTAAAGTGTAATAAAGATTTAGTTATTATTTCTTAATTACACAAGTAGTCTGGAGGAACCAAACTTGTTAAACCTTATATTTAGGTTTGGATTGATGTTTTTATGTATTATGAAGTAATAATTAAAAAAAGTACATTTACTTAATCACTCAGTTCATGTAATAGTTACAAACAAGCTTACTCAGTCCAACAAATTTTTAAGATTTTACAGATTATAAAATTATGATTCTTATTCAAGCCACTTTGTTTTACAACACTCAAAGTTTTGGCTTATATTTTATATTCCTATACCACAGCATTACAGATCTGAGTAGAACGGGAAATATATCATTTTAACTTATGACACCGTTGTAACTCAGACACCATTCAATGTGTGACATGATACATCCATTAATTTGTAATTCAGTGACTAGAGGTACTAGAACTGTAATGTTAAGTGTCAAAGTATTGTATATTACACCTGAATTTGGAAGAAAAAGAATTATAAAAGGATCAGATTGTTGAAAGTAGGTAGATGGAGTACCCTCACATCATAGATAGTCTCACGTCATAGATAATCTCGCGTCATAGATAGCCTCACGTCATAGATGGAGTAGTCTCACGTCATAGATGGAGTAGTCTCACGTCATAGATGGAGTAGTCTCACGTCATAGATGGAGTA